GTCTGATATAAATATATTCTTTGTTGACCTGAAGAAAGTTCAAGATAGAAAGGGGTTCTTTTCCAAGTGCATTCGTTACATAATGTTTTTATTTCTTCTCCCTGCCAAGAATTAGACATGACGTAATTTATTTCTCCTCTCGCTTCCTGCAAACCGGTATTTCCCTTAAAAAGAACCAATCATGTACAAGTACATTTTACTTTACAGATTACCCATGAGCGAAAGCACTGTATTTAACCGGATATGTTCGACATACGTAGTCCGATTTAGTTATTCACAAGCTCCGAGGGTCTTAAAATGACAATCCATTATGTTAAGGAGGCACTGGCTAATTGAAATACCAGGTGAAAGCCAAGAGCGAATCGAGCTTCGACGAAGAATTTTTCATTGCGGAGGAAATTTTCGATCTAAAACTGACTTTTGCAAGTTCGAAGCCTGACTCGGTAAGAATACTTTGAAGCAGTTAATTTATTATTTAGGGTTGATTTCTAATTACTTGAGAAGTCTTGCCTAAAGTTGCTATTGCGTTCAGCGCATACATTTGCTATGGAAAGAGTCTTAAATATTTCAATCTGAGTAGAATCAGCTCGTTCGCCAAACAAATCGATGGGGTGAGTACCTCAGCCTTTTTTCAGTAAATTTTTTCAGCATCTCTTGGTGTTATTATTTCTTAATTTCGTGTTACGTCCAAAGATTAGCTTCCCTCGGGAATAAACGCCTCCGAGAATTACAGGTTTATTCTACCGAATACTGATGAGGGCAATTAATTTTCATCGGTATCTACTTTTTCGCGGGGCGACAATTTTTTCACCTTCCTACAAATTATGTGGTGTCTGAAAAAAATTAATTTGAATTTATTCTACGATCATTGTGTTTTTGTATTTTGCATTTAATTCAGCGAAAAAATTACAGTGGTAAACACCTCCGAATCGAAAAGGAACGGGAAATAGAGCCTGGCTGGCAATAAGCCAAAACGACCAGAACAGATCCATTGCAATTTTGCCGATCGAACTTCGATAGATACATTTTTATTCTAGAAAGAATAGGTTATCAGATCTCAGCTGTATTTGTTCCCTAACACCTGGTGTTTTGGGAGAAAGTAAAGACCATTTTGTTTACTTATTACACCACAAGAAGTCGTTGTCATTCATAAGGCTGAAAATCGGTGTCTGAAGTGAAGTGACAAAATTTAAGTCACTGTGAACCTAAGTTGCATTTACAAAACTTCATGCAGAGTCAAAAAAAAAAAAAAAGAAAACAGAAAAAAAAAACAGCACTTCGTTTCAATTTCAGTTGCTATCCATAAAGCTTGTTTTACATAATTAAGTTTGCAATGTCTACTTTTGAATATTTAATCTTTACTTTCCCGTTGATCGATTTCGAACTCAGCTATCTATTCTTTTCTTCCTACTTCTGTGAACGAAATTCGGTTGATTTAGTTCTTGTTCAAATACCTAGTCTCTCCGGAACGATTTATTAAGAAAACACTCTTGAAAATGCACCGAAATATAATAAATAACTTTCAGTTGGAGTGTCATATATCTCTATAATAAACAACGCTCCAATATGATTTCATTAGGTGGAAAGGAATGGCCTGTGCTCTGAAAAGCGTTTTATTTCTTCTCCTTGACGAGCGTTCACCTATCATGACGATTCAATATAGTATCTTGAACTTTATGTCCACTGCGGTGCAATGATATTTGTTTTTAAATGTTATTTCCATAAGTTAATTTTTGGGGAGGTTGACAACACGAAGTATTGTAAGAATGCGTAAAAAAATGCCAGTTAACTTCTCTCTTTCTCTTTTCCGTTTTCTTTATCAATCTCCCGAAATAAGGATTCCAACTGGAAGCTATTGGCACAACTTAAGGGCGATTTTTTCTCGTTAGCTACATGCACTAAACAAATACTATTAAATAAAATTCAGTGAAATTAAACAAGCATACTATAAAATAATCATGATAACGGCTCTTTTAGGCAAATATACACTAATGTTACCACTGATAATAAGTTAAATTCCTATTCAAACTGTTTAGTCGCTGACTTTCGGGAAGGATTTGCCTCATTTTGGAATATTGTAGTCTTTTTCTGGTAGGATAAAAAAAAATGGTTCATAAATAATGAAAGGCCGATTAATTAAAAAAATACTTTGTGGGTTTTTCCAAATATTGACTCATTTTTGAAGGCTGACGAGGTAGTTCAATGGCTTAAACAGGAATTATTAAAATATCATAAAACAAAACAAAGAAAAGGGGTTTTTATGGTGAAGAAATGATATGGTTCCTTCGCTGGTAGAATAGCACCAAGAATGTGTAAATTTTTAAACTCTTTACACGAACGCAAACACATAGGCAAAGTTTGTTAAGCACTTTTGATAGACAAGTTGAAAAAGAAACCACGGGTTAAATATTCCTCTTCATTCAGCGGATTTCTTTTTAACTTACTGAAAAGTCAGTGTGATAAACATTTGCTGTCCCCTTCAATCAGAGGATTTGACCGCCAAGCCTTTAATTATAGCAAGCGGGTGCTTTTGTCAATTCTATCTGCAGTTCCTCTGTTCATAGCTCAGCGCACAAAAACAAAAAAAACCTTCAGCTACATAGGCCTTTTAACACTCATACCACTGCGATAAACATGGTTTTGCAATAATGCGATAGCCATTAGAATACAAAATTTAACAAAGGAGACTCCATTTCTCATAGGGGTCGAAATTGGAACTCAGACGGTTTCGTGTTAATGCAACATTTTAATCTATTGTCAATTTACATTAGCGGCGGCGAGTAGAAGGAAAAAGTAGACCTTTTTGTTCCTCAGCAGAAAAACTTCTCGAAGACTGAAAAAATATATCTCCAACTGTTTAATCGCTTATCTTTAAGTCTGACTTTTCGACATTTCTGCTCTATATTTAGGTCGTTGCATACATACGAGGCTAACAATCGTTAAAAGTGACAGGTGCTGATGAAGAGACTAACTTAATTAGTATTCAATAGCATTTCGTGTGAAATCGTAAATATCAACTGTTTAAGGATCATTGAACCCTGCAGGTCAAATTTCATTGATTTCTGTAGGGAGGTTTTCCAGACCGGATCGGCGTTTCCAAATCAGAAATATTGTTAAAATTCATCAGTGAAAATAACCAGAATCTCACAAAAAAGCGTGCTAATATTTGTACTTCAGAGAGATATGCCGTCTATAGGTTAGCAACAGTCACGTTTATATGTTAAGCAAATACATTCTGGACGCTGGTTATAATGAAGGAAGTGCCTGCAGCGGCTTTGATTAATAGACAAAACGAATAAAGAATAATACTGAATTCGTGGGGGGAGGGGGGAAGCATTGCGACAATATTAAAAAAAAAAGAAAAAAAAAACCATTACTAACAACCAAGTGATCGGAAGAGTAAAATTACTATTTTAATTCTCTTAAGACGAGATAAACTGAAATAAGATTTTGTTAAAAAAAAAAAATCGCTGAAACAAGAGAGCTGTGGTATTCAGTCAGCAAGCAGCTTGAGAAATCAGAGGAATTTTAGAGTTTTATCTTGTGAGGCAAGTTTAGTTTAGAGACATTAGATAATAAAGTAGGCTAAGACGTGAAATTGAAGAGAATCTATTCTTTTGTTAGGTAATGTCCACCTTCCATGGAAGAAAGCCAGTGAATTTTAGACCACAGGCCAAAGGTGGGCTAAAGGCTTTGTAACTACCACCAAGTAACTAACTGTATTTCAAGACTGCGCTCACAAAAACTAACATTTTAAGAAAATCGCTTTTTGTCATAACAGAATTGTCAGGAGGAAATTCTCAGAACTGAACCCTCCCATCGCGTATGCATCATTCTCCCTCATAAGCGTAATTTTTTCGAGCTCGTGTGAAACTTCTCGAGAAATCATATTATCTTGGAAATTTGGTCATATATTTCCGTTTGAAGGTGCCTTTGTGAAAAAAATCAAACCGTGGGAGAATTGCATGGAATCTTTGATGGCAACTAAAATATGGAATGAAGAATGAGTTTTGTCATGTAAAAGTGTTCACTATTTTGGCACAATAAGCTCATTACACGTTATTCTTTGCGACACCGAAACACACATTTATAATTAATAAGAGCTTTTCTCAAACTGGTCACCATCCAACAAATAATTTACTTTTTAAATCATCTACCTCTCTTTGGCTGTTGAAGAGGCATCTAGCCGTCTGTTTCAAATCCCGTGGATTTCTCTTCCAGAGGGTCAGCTCTTTCTGTCGACTGTTGTTCCTTAGCACAACGAAAAGAATGCGCATTTGAATGGCTCAATTAATAATTTTAGCTTTTGACTTTACAAAACTGACCCAATTTGTTTTAACTAAGCCAGTGCACGCACTGCCGGCAAAGTTCTTTCATGAGGCAAAAAGTTATAAAGATATCGTATGAATCGCCTGCGTAGTTGTAGGTTAAAAGCGAAGGGCTTGTAGGATAAACCACCTCCACTAACTTTTATTTCATCAGAGTTACTAGAGGGGACCCTCTACTACTAAGCAGAAGAAGAAGAAATTCTCTGCCAAACTTCGACATCTCACCCACAGAGATTCGATGGCTTGTAAAGAACGCTTAACAGCTAAACTGATGCATTCTAAGCGTAACTATGATTTCATCGAGTGCCAAAAAACGACTAGCTACATAAGTCATATTTCAAAGGAGATGGTAAAGGGTTCTGTCCTCGTGTACCGGTTCACGAGAGCCAATACAAAAGACCAAACAATACACAATAGCTAACCGATGACTCCTAAACAAAGAAAGAACAATGGTAATTCCCTTGTGAACCGGTACACCAGGACAGAACCTGGTAAAGTTTCCTTTGACAGTCCCGAGAGATTTTACAATTAGAAATTCTAATTATCAACTTGTCCTGTTTATGTATTCTTTATTTCCGTCGTTCGCGTTCTTATTCAGATCTGCTCAAATGCGGAACATTGACAATTCAATTTAACAGCGATAGTTAGTTGAGAACTGTTTTCTGTTACCAGGTCTCCAAGCTTTTAAAGAGAGGAAGGATTCAGTAATATCAAAAGACACTGACTGATGAAGGGAAGCTAGAAAAAATTATCACCATGGCTGTGGGTTTAGTTGTGGTAATAGTGTTCATGATTGTGTTTACTGTGATTGGGAACACTACAATCTGCTACATTATCTACAGAGTAAGGCGTCTTCATTCCCCTTCCTGCATTTTCCTAGTGAATTTGGCCATCAATGACATTCTGGTGGCATTATTTCTTCTACCTTTCAGCATCGCGACCACTGCAAGTAATTACATCGTCGTGAGTGAAACTGGCTGCGACATTATTGGGTTCTTCCAACATGCCACAAGCGCAGTCTCAGTTTTGACGCTTCTGTCTGTTAGTATGGACAGATATCTAGCCATACTGACTCCTCTGAAATACAAAGGCTGGGTGACCCGTAATCGGACTGTTTTGTGTATATTTGTCATCTGGTTTTATGCGTTGCTATCGGCGTGTTATCCTCTTCTGGGATGGAGCCGTTATGACGCTTTCCCTGGACAGTGGCTTTGCGAATCCGATTACCACATATCCGTCAGTTTTACTTACTTCAAAATGACTACAATCTACTTTATGCCACTGGTTTCTATCATTTTTATTTACATCAGTATATTACGAGTAGCCTTACGTCATTCGAAACAAATCGCCCGCGAAGTGAAGGCATTGCGTCAAAGGGAAATGGCTGCAGTACTTGAACCTGAACTTAGTGCGCAAGTGTCAGCGGCAGTCATATCGGGACAATATTGCATGCGCAAGCCGCATTCTGCCCTAAGAGCGGATATCAAGACAGCTTTGACATTGGCCTCCATCGTCGGAGTGCTTTTTATCGCCTGGACACCATATATAGTAGTGAATCTGTGGTCTTCGCATTCAGGGAATTATGGGACAGAATTACTACAGTCCATTGTCTCTGGACTTTATTACTCCACAGGAGTTATAAATCCTTATTTATACGGGTATTTGAACAGGATTATAAAAAGAGAATTTAAACTTTTTTGGACAAATACTCGTAGGTCTATTTCTCAGATAAGAGCAAACAAAATCCAACACGTGGAAATAGCACCACGAAAGTCGTCCTAATCGGAAGACATCTTTATCCTGTTCAGAAAAATTCCACATCAGATTTCACGTTTGTTTCATGCTCCAGCGCGCGTCCATCGAGACACAAAGCCCTTGGAGAGCACTCAAGAAGCTCGTATTTTTCTTGGCTTCGTATTATCTCACTTGCTCTTCAAACTCCCCGTATCTCGATGAACGCACGCTAAAGTATGAAGTACTTATTTTACATTATTTTCAACGCAGTAATTTAAGTGTTTTAAACAAAGAAATTCCCCATGCACATTTCGCTTCAATGCGGACGTACGCTTTATCAACGGGCGCAAAAGAAATATGAAGCACGCCGTTCGGATGAATAAAGAAAACTTTTCAAAAATTAAGACTCCTTATTTTTCGGTGGACAAGCTTTCCCTCGACAAGTCTCCTTGCTCAAAGTCCGAGAAGCCGGACCTGCCAAGAAAGTACTTGTCATGTTGTAAATTTCAATTTCCAGGAAAATTTGTTTCAAAGGAAACCTTGTCGGCTTGAGAGGAATAAATGCGCTATAGTGCACATAAACTTGTGAGAGTCTGTGTAAGATCAAGTAATAGACCTAAATTATTAGTTAAAATGGTGAGAACAAAGTTTCCTACTTATAATGATCTGTACTCAGTGCTCTAATAAATGTAAAGTAACTCACTAAGTATACTCAAAATACCTTTATATATATTTCCTTTCCCCTTTGAGAGTCCTCAGTCGCCCACATAAGCAATTTTTTATGAAAAGACTGTGTTTCAATCATGTTCTAATATCGTTCGTTTTAGTTAGTTATCCCGAAAGTAGTATAGTGTACTCCTCTTCTCTTATCCTAAATTTAAAGCTTACCCCTGTTCCAGTCCCCACCTCTCCTACACATATTGAAAACAGCTTCTACAAAGTATAATTCAAGCACATTTTTAGCCCGCAGAGCAGGTGTAATTTTGACAAGCAAGTGCTCTGTATTTTCTTAGCGAAAATTATGGACGTCATCTTTGATTGCAATGGAAGCGGAAGGCTAGGGAAAGGAAAAAATTATACTAAGGGGGTAAGCGACGGTGAAAAATGGAGGGAGGTGGGGTGGGGGAGTGAATATTTCCGCCCCTTTCCCCCTATCGTCGACTCTAACTTCAAATTAAACATGGCCGGTTGAAGGCAGTCGCGCGCTTCTTAACGTTAACTTGCCCAAATAAGAGGCCTGCACTGCAAGTTAGCAAATTTTTTACTCCATTTTTCTCACTTTTTTTTTCATCTTTTCAATTTGGTTTTCATCAGTCTGAACCACTTCAATTCTCATTTTGGAGCTTTTATAATTATTTGATTATCCTTCAAGATTGAAACTTAAGAGTTCCGTACTTAAATGGTATGGACCTAACACATTCAATTAAAAAAAATGAGATTGAAGAAATAAAATCGTTCTTGGCTAAAGCGCTTTTGTTTTTCGAAATGAACGTTCAGATTAATCCTGAGATTTATAACTGGTGCCCCTTCTGCTCACTAAGGAGGGTAATCCTACCCCCCCCGGCCCGAATTAGGACGCTTTTCATTTGTCGAGAAAATTCAAAGCGATGGGGGATTTCCCTGTTTTCAAACTTCCCATAGACATGTAACGGTATTTTGAACTGAGTTGACTGGGGTGCAAGTTGGTCTTAAAGCATGCGCTTGATTTGAAATCACTAGTACGATGTTTTGTTTTAGTGTTGCTTTGTCGTTAGACGGGAAAAAGAGGCGATTGCATCGGCGATTGGGCAGCTGAGAGCCAAGTAGATTACAAGGATCATCAGTTGTGTTTTCATAATGGATGAAATAAATCCGAAAAGCGCGAGATGGACTAAACTTAACCGTTATATAAGCACTTAGCGCGCGAACACGCGAAAACTACCATGGCAACAGGAGAAGCTAGTGTTTGTGTACCGGTAAAAATCAGTAAGAATCGTTTGCACCATGCCAATGAGGAACTTTTTGTCATAAATAAATCCTTCTAGAAACTGGGACTAAAATACTACGCCAGGGTACTTTATCCGGAAAAGTTGCCGTTGGTCAAGATTATCCGCGGAATTTGAGATACGCGTAGCTCTAAGAACGAGTCAGAAATACGACAGAATAACAACAAGCTGTATATACTCTTGCACAACATCTGAAACTCTTACCTTTTCAGCTTGAACAAAATATGAAGTAAAGGCGCTGAAACCGCAGACTTACTCTCCATGTTTTAAGAAAACTTTTCTTTAACATACCCCAGTTTGTTTCATTCTGCAAAATTGTCGAAGTGAAAGCTCAACGTCACACTTATAGTTCATGACGCACTGTGCGCGTGCTTGTCGCATTTAGTCCACTTTTTTGAAAAATAACCACTTCCTGTTGCGTCTGCAGTAAGACGGAACTCATTATGGTCATCACTCTTAATTTATTTAACTCTTCGCAATTCCTATCACCTCGTCGATTGATTAATCAGCTGAACTGTGAAAAGAAGATATCCAATGCATATAATTTGCTTCCTTTAGGTTCCTAACCACTAGCCGATAGTTTTAAGTCGCTTCTCCCCTAACCCATTTTCCCAAAAGAAGTTGATTTCGAGCTATTGCAAATTTTGTCGAGTATAGGTAAAATTTATGTGACTAAAGGAAACATTTTTATAAATGCACGATTCGTATTTGACTCAGGCTGCATGATGGTTTTTTTATTGTGTGGAATTTCTACTATTTGCGACTCATTTATTATTGTGTCTTCATGTTCAATTTACGAAGACAAATCTTGTGAGACCCGCGTGGTTCACTTTGAATCTCATGACGAGAGAATTTCGTTTCAAAATCCGGATCTAGAAGGAACAATTAAAACGATCGCTGCCTGAAAGACAACTTCAAATAACTTCAAACTTTTTCATCTGAACACCTTGAATGGCATTTTCAGGGAATTTTCCAAGAATTTACGCGAGACTGCGTTGATGCAGACAGCGGGCATCCCCAAAAGAGTTGGAGCAGACGGCTGACTTTGTGGTAAGTGGAATAAAGAAACATTATAAGGAGTGAGATCGTTAATGTAGATGTTTGGAACGCTGCTTTGGCCGTTCATCCTCTATCTGGTAGCCAGCTCTTCCATTCTGGATCATATTTTCCTGTGGCTGTGTCGTTTGATGCCGGGAGGGAGAAAATTTGTCACCGTCAAGGCGAGTTGCCCGTCGAGCATACGAAGTCTTCAGAGCGCTGTACGAGGTTATCGGTGAGTTTCATCTCAGAGCCAATCTTTGTTATTTTCTTAGATAATCTTGTTTATAATTTGTTAAATCATTCTTTTCTAGTTTAGAGTGTAACGTCTGCAGAAATCGAAAGCTTGATTACCCGCGTGAAAGAAGAATTCTCGAAGAAACCTAACTGCATGTGTCCATTAGTTCGCGCGACTGGATAATGAACGCTAAGTTTCGCTTTCGTTTCATTTGTTTTCCACAGAAACGGATCGCCCCCATCTTCCAGTGGAATACATTCGATCTCTTCATTGTTAACGATCCCTCCACTCTACCACTATCCTCATCCTAACTTGCCTGTGTTTACCTCAATGGGTTTCGAGGTTTTATTTTTTTGCTATCTTGTCAGCGCGCTTATACTTCAACATGTCAACATCTACAAAACGGTAGGTGCTCTTAATGTCGAGTAGATTTAATTCTGTTCTTAACATGAATGGAAGCGCAATATATCGACTTCTCTCGACCCTAAAAAAAAATCGATTGATTGTCTAAAATTAGCGTCTTTCGACTAATTATCCCTCTCCCGTGTGTAGTTTACAAACTGGTTATCTCCCTATTCCTACACCAGGTGTTCCAATTCATTGATTATTGAGCAGAAGCTAGAAATTAACCTTTGACAAGAGCGCACGCTCGATCCTTGTTCAAAATATTAATTGGGGTGGTATTCAAGTATTTCGTACATCGGTAAATGTGAAAACACGAAAATAATTATTCCCGTGCAGTGTACCATTATGATTTTTAGTCACCTATCCCCCCGTGGGTAGCTGAAGGAAATGAATTATGATGCTAATTGTCGAGTAGGAAGGGCGACAACACACTATTGTTCTTTTTCTTTGAACCTGTCAAATAAAATATACGTGAGCATACTTTTCAAAGATGAATGATTTGGTCAACTATTTCACCCATAAAACTGCATGAGTAGGGTATTGTTGTTTAGTTTATGACTGAAAATTCGTAGTGTTAGATGCTTGGAGTTCACTTGTGATCTCTTCTTGGATTATTTTATGATGGATGTAGCTTCAAAGGTGTAAAGATCCATTGAGCAGATGTTTCTGACTTCAAGTTGTAAAGCTATACAGGTTCCAAAATTGTAATCAGCTTGTTGCCAATGTGACAAAAAATTGACTGTTATGGATAAAAATTTGAATGTTTGTCACCAGCCCAGCAGGTGACTTAATTTAAGTATTGCCAGTATTCCTGACGTTAAACTTAAAATGGACTCAAGAAGTGAAATGTCTAGCATCTCATCTTTTTTTATTTATAGACTTGTGTCTTTCATGAGCAAGAAAGTGTTTTTCATAAAGATATGTCTTACACCCTTTCACCCTGAGATCTCATTAGAAACTACTTGTCACTCTCTGTCTTACTATTCTTATGATGTTAGTTTGGAGAACTTGGTATTGGATCTACCGGAACTAATAATTAATATTTGTATGAAAGTGGTCCTCATATTAATGAACCCTACTCATGTAACAGTGGGAGTAAGGCCTGAAAAAAAAATTCAGGCCCATATGGGATTTGAACACATGACCTCTGTGATACTGGTGCAGTGCTCTACCAACTGAGCTAACAAGCCAACTGTGAGGATTGCTTTCATACATTTCATGAAACTGCAATACACATATATGATTTTCGTATATTCAAATTCATTATTATCACTTCGACAGGTTCAATGTGAACCAACATAATTGACAGCTCCCAGTTGGCTTGGAGGGTTCCCTACTGTGAGGATCGCTTTCGTACATTTCATGAAACCACAGTACACAGATATAATTTTTATATATTCAAATTCATTATAGTTAATATTTTTATTTTTTCCTTGTTCTCATCACTTGTCTGGTTGATATTGTATTAAAAACTTTTCATCCCCACACGAGGGAGTGTAAAAACATAAATTTCAGACTCATCGTTCATTGTTGGTTTGTGAAAAGGTATGAATTTATTGATTGTTCACAACAAGAAAAACACAAAAAAAGGGACTGAAACCTATTTTTTCAATAGTGATTTCAGGCCTTTTCTCCAGTCCTCCCCAGAGATGGAGACATAATATGCTGTTAGTCCTCTCTCCTTTGAAATGCATATTCTCCAAGCTGTTCTCTATATATTTCCAAAGGAAATGACCAGGAGAATTTGTCTCCCAATTGTGAGCTTCTAAAGTTGGTGATCATTTCTTTTATTCTCCTAGCCTTTAGTTTTGATTCAAGGTTGACATATTAGAGAGATTTAACACTGTGTTCATGTGAAACGTGAATGGCAAGATTGACCATGTGACCTTGTTTTTCCCGCCATTTTTTTCACGTTTGCCGGTTGGGCTTAACTGTTTCTACTTGAAAGTAACCAGTCTTGCATTTGCCGTGTACATAAGATTTTATATACTTTTTCTCTCACAGAGTAGAAGTCGATTGCCAGAAAAAGGGCACTAATTACTATTCCTTGTAATTCATACAAGGGTGACTTCAAATCTGACATGACCTGAGCTCACGCGAAGCCAAAGCAGCAAGGTTCACTCTATTTTATGCAAAATGTGAAAGGGCAAGCTGATGTTTGCTGTTTCATGTAAATGCGATACTAAATCTCTCTATTGTAAGGTAACATCAGAGGCCTGTCATTCTCAGGGACCATAGGGTTAATGAAAAAGATAACCTTGTAGTCTGGTCATGCTGGTGAAAGTGGTCCTTGAAAGGACTGTTGTTGATGGCATGACTGATGTTTCAGGAACCCCCCAAGGTGAAATCTCCATCAGAGTCCGGGAAGCAGTTGTTTGTCAGTTTAAAATTGTTACAAGTCTGGATTATATGAAATGATTGTCCAGTTTTGTTGTGATGTTAGTTGCCATAGCATTCAAGTACCATAAATTGGTTGTGATACACCAAATTTTGTTTTGTTGGTAAAGTTCGGTCATCCTATCGAGTTCATTTACTAAATTAGTGTCATTTGTGACTTGTTTATACAGTACTGATAAATGTAGATATCTGTCATGAAGAGTCTGTTTTAAGATAGTGAAGCAGCTTTCAAAAGACATTCATTGAAAATAGTTTAAAAAATTCACCCAACTAATATTAAATGTAATTTTTCTTTTGTTTTTGGGGAAAAGAATCTTTTCAAAATTGTGAATACAAAGCTTACACTTGGACAACTGCAGTTGACATCCTCTTATATTTCTAAGATACCAATGATTGTCATTAGTAACAGACCTTTTCAGGACTACTCTCATTTAGACAATTACAAAATACAACTTCATACCACCCACATCTCTTAGGAAGATACAAGTTGCATGTAATGTGCAGCTTATTACATTTGTTAGCTGTCAATATAATGCATTAGATGTATCTGTCCCAGATTTGTAATAAATGAGGTTAAAACTTCACATTTCTTAATTTTCATGGGTTCACTTTGTGATGACTTGTGAAGCATTTGTGGCGGTGTTTAATTTTTGTTTGACTAAAAATTTTTTTTTTTATGGCAGAACATTCACATGGTTGACATCCACCTTATGTGGTTCATTGCCATTTTCCTGAGTCGCAGAGTGGCATGGAATGTACTTGGACAGGTAAACTGAGGGTGAATTACATAATAATCATGATGTCCATTTGTCTAAATATTAACTTTCAACCTGAACATTGATATGTATATTCTCCGTACTGTTATCCATATCTCTCCTAAAGTGCTGGCAAGGAGATTTTGTATAACAATCAAAAGCTTCTTTAGATTTGAGATAATTTCTTCTATTCCCTTGACCTTAATGTGTGATTCAGTGGTGATATTGTAAGGAGAAATTAGATGCTGGTCACTCTTATTGGTTGAAGGGTGAACAGGCTCTGGGTTAAAACTTTCCCTGATTTTTGGTTACTTTTCTAAGTGCTCTATGTTGTGCGTGAATCTTTTCTTGACTATTTCTTTTACCTGTACACATCAATCTTTTTAGAAGTTGTAACCTTTTTCAAACTCTGCGATAGCATTCCTTTCTCTGTGTGTGAATTGGAGAGAGAAGAAACATCCCTATTACTCAATGTTTGTTGGGAATAAGATTGAGTCTTGGCCAGGGCTTTAATAAACCAACCATTTTTATCATAACATTTATCACATTAAATGCTTTTGCAACATACCTTCAATCTCCAAATGCTGTGAAGGACATGCCCTTCCCCTCTTTAACCCTCTGCAGGGGCATAGCCAGGATTTTTCAAAGGGGGGGGGGGTCACAGGAGGCTACTCACCATTTACACCGCTGCTCTCCCGCGTATATCAACAGGCTCAGTCATATTATCGCGGCATGAAGACTCATATCAATGGCTTTTACGGCCAAGATATTGTCATGGTGTCTTTGCCACCTGAATATTGTAGGTTGTTTGCTCTAAAGAAGACCTACCAAGGGGGGGTCACGGGCACCCCAGGACCCCCCTGGTTATGCCCTTGCTCTGTACCCTAACTTCAGTTTGCATATTCTCCATACTGTTCTTCACACATTTCCCATGGTACTGACAAGGAGAATTTGTTAAACAATCAAGAGTTTCTTCTTTTGGTGATCATTCCCTTGTTCTCATGACCTTGATGTTTGATTTGGTAATGGGACTATGAGGAGAAATTCAATACAAGTCGCTTTTAGGTGATAAAGGGTTGATAAACCCACCTGCTCCCTTCTCCCCTAAACAAAGAATCCTATTTGAAAACATGGAGGGAAAACAAAATGTTATGATAGATGGTCCTTTTAATTGAGTATCTTAAAATCAAAGGTAAAGTGAAGACAAACAACTAGCCAGCTTGTATTTGAAAGCCTGATTTTTTCTCTGTTTCAAATATTGTAAGTTATTCAATCAAAGAAATGCATTCTGTGTATAATATTCTTTAAAGCTGGGCTCAGATTTAAGAGAAAAAGAGAGTTTCACATTTTTTTTTTCTCAGTGAGTCAGGAGTAAGCTATCCATCTCACCCATGTTTACACAAGTCCTCCTTTGCACTGAGCCCCTT